GTCCCCATATCCCCCTGTTCCATAGCCTACTTCCCCATGTTCCCTTCTCCCCGTCCCCATATCCTCCTGCCTCCCTGTCCCCTTCTCCCCAGATATGTCACCATATCCTGCTCTCCCTGTCCCCATCACCCCATAGCTTCTTGTCCCTCTCTCCCTGCCCCATATCTTCCTGTCCTTGTCCCCACATCCCGCTGTCTCCCTGTCCTCATATCCCCCTCTCCCCACATCCCAGTGTCCTTGTTACTTCCCATCTCCCCGTCCTCATCTTCCCATATGTCCGTATCCTGCTGTCCCCATCTCCCTCTATCTACTTGTCCCTCCGTCCCCCTCTCCCCTTTCCCCATATCTCGCTGTCCGCATCCCCGTTTCTCCCGCACCCCTTTCCCCACCCCGTCCTGCCCTCAGGTCCCTATCCCGCTGTCCCTGTCCCCTTTCCCGCCGGATCCGGCCCTCAGGCGCGGCCGCAGCGCCCCCTGCCGGCCCCGCGCAGCCCGGTCCCGGTCCCGGTCCCGGTGCCGGTGCCGAGCAGGAAAACACCGGGGATCAGCACATCCCCCGCTCCGGCGGGACAGGCGTCCCCACCCAGGAGGCGGAAGAGCGGGCAGAAGGATGTGCCTCCACACCAAAACACCACCACGCGTCCCTAGCCAAGGGCAGCAGGATGATGAGGCTAGAGGGAATGTCTCATGTGATAAGAAAGAAAGGTTAAAAAAGCTCATAGTCATCAAATAAAGTTTTTGGATATCAGTTCTTGAAAAGGTTTCCCTGTGGATATGCCAGCCGCAGGTTCGTTCAGAATCCCTGCTGTGAAGCCTCTGTATGTGCAGAACATTGTCTTCCCCTCTTTGGGCGGAGAGCCAAACTCACCTCTGACAGCTGGCAGGAGCTAAGCAGGTCAGGCTTAAAAAGCAGAGGAATAGGTGTGTGCAAGTCTGAATAATAACCAGAGCACTGGGCAACAAAGTGCCTTTTGCTGTCTGCTTGGGTCACAAATTATCATTCCGATGACAGATAAGTCCACTGAGTCAAGAATTGCATTGCTATTTGCAAGCACAGGGAAACTTTGCATAGCAAACATGGTCAAGGACTGAAATATTGTGATTGAAAGATTTTAGATCCAGCTAGGCCAAGTATTTTGTTTAAGTGGTCATTGCCTGTTGTCTTGACTGGGGTGATTTGTTAGGCCAGACCTGGAGTAATACCCTTGACCTCAGTGACCAAGTCACTCTAGAAATACAGAGGAAAAATAAGGAAGCAGGGAAAACCTGAGGCAAAACAAAGTCTATTTAACCACATGTATCTTTAAAGCTTCAAGCTGGACCCATTTTTCCTCTGTCTGTTTCCTTTGCTCTGTAGCCAATCTCCCTTACTGGCTTTCTCAGCTGCAAAATTCCTCTCTTGGGACAGATCAGGGAAAAGATAATTGCTGTCTGCTGCCCTCCCCCAGGATCCTGGGGAAGCCTCATTCAGTTCCCTGACTGCAGATGTGTGACGTGGTCTGTGACAGTTTATCAAATTATACAATCCCCAGCACCCTGCTCCAGGAGATTTGTCTGCACCTCATCTTGAAGCTCATCTCTTTGGGCTCAGCTCTGAGCGTTTTCAGTTAAGCCCAGTGTGTGTTGGCTATATCCAAACGCTGGTCTTCAGACATGAGACCAAAAACCAAGCACCGAGGGGAGGAATTCTGCTGTTGGTTACCCAGCTACGTGGCAAACATTCCCACGCAGTGAACACAGAGAAAACAACCGCACAATCCAGCTGCTTAAGAACTTATAGGATGAAGGATTACAGCTGCTTTAACAGACAGAAAGGAGCTAATGCATTTCCTGTGACTACACATCCTGCCTCAGCCCATATCCCTCCTTTAATCACTCCAGCGGGAGCAGCCTTTCCTTTGCTGCCTTGTGCTGGCCCCACGCCAGCGGGGATGGGCAGCGACTGGGCCCCTTGAGCCGGGGTCACGGCAACGCCTTTTCCTGGGTAGATCCCACGGGGGAGCACAGCCGGCACCGCGGCCAGGCGACAGAAAGCGGTGTTGGAGCCCGGGGACACCGGAGGGGACACCGGAGGGGACACCGGAGGGGACACCGGAGGGGACACCGGAGGGGACACGTCCCGCCGCGGGCAGGCGGCCGGAGCTCCCTCCGCCAGATTGATTCGCCGCTCTTCTAGGAAATACGGCTCCGCGGCCCTTCTATTCTAGTGACTACGGCGGCGGCGGCCCGCCCCGCCCGTGACGGCAGCGGCGCGCGGCGGGGCTGCGCCGCTACTCGGGACACCTCGGCCCGGCGGGCGGCGCCGCTACACGCAGCGTTACGGGCCATGGCTGCCGAGATCCACTCGCGGCCGCAGAGCCGCCGGCCCGTCCTGCTCAGCAAGGTCGAGGGGCACCAGGACGCCGTGAGCGCCGCGCTCCTCATCCCCAAGGAGGACGGCGTCATCACGGCCGGCGAGGACAGGTGACCCGGGGCCCGCTCCCCGCCGGGCAGGGCCGGGGCAGCGGGGCTGCTGGGGGAAGCCGTGTGTGCGCTGTGCCTTTGCCGGGGGCGCGCAGGGACTCCGAGCGCGCAGCCGAGAGGAAACCCGCGGTCCCGGGGAGGAGGGTGCCACCAGCTGTGAGGGGACTGGCTCGGCCCGCGGCGCGGGCGCTGTCCCGCGGCCGGAGAAGCCGCCGAGCTCCGTGCACTGCCGTCCCTGCGGGCCGCGGGAAGGCACCGCTCGGCCCGCGGGAGTGCGTCCTGAGAGCCGTGAGCAGAGCGGGGGGCGCGGAGTGCGTGCTTCCCGCGGCCTCCCGCTCCGCTGGCTGAGGCACTCGCAGTGTGTCACGGCTCCCCTGCCCGTCGGCAGAGCTGGAGCTTCCCCTGCTGCTCCGGTGGAACTGCCCGTTCTGGTGGCTCGGTCCCAGAGCTGCTTCCCCCCGGCTGGAGCCCTCAGGGAGGGAGCTGGCAGGGCTGAGGGGACAGGGGGGATGAGCTGCTGGGCACGGCGCTTTCTGCTTGGAGGGGAAGGTCTCTGTAAAGTGCAACCCTGCTTCTTGGCACTGGCTCCTCTGCCGCGGAAGCTCGTAATGCCACTAAACAGTTACTCAGATGAAAGGAAAGTGGAAATGAGGAAGCAGGTAGTACAGAGGGTTGTGGCCAGGAAAGTGGCGAGGGATCTGCAGTGTATAGCGAGAGGTGGAATTTCACCTGTGCTATGTGCAGAATGACGCTTAAATGTGAAGAGGGATGGGAGGTGCTTCTTAAGAAACACTGGCTCCATTTCAAGCAAAGATGTACTTTTAAAAGTACAAAAATGCATTCTTTGAGGTGTAGCTTGATGCAGGGATAATTTTACTGTTATACTACAAAACATTCAAAACTAAAGTTGCATTAATATTTGCATGAATTTTTGTTTTAAAAGTTTGACCTTGTGAGAAATAGGAGGGTATGAGTGTGAAAAATTAGCAATAGTGTTATCTGACCTGGGTTTTGTGGCCTTTATTTTTAGGTCAAAAAGTGCAAACAGATCAGCTGTCTAGTTGGTTTTTGTCATCCACAGGAAATATGGAGATGGCTTTGAGCAGTACATGTTGGATAACAGCTTTCAGATGGGAATGGGGAGCTTCCTTTCATTCCAGTCACTTAGGTGTGTTTGTGTTTGTGTTCAGTTTGCTTTGGTGGGCTTCCTGAAGGAGAGAAGACGAAATAATGATTTTTAAGACTCCATATCAGGGTTCAGCCCTCACAGAGTTTCATAGTACAGGCTTGCAGAGTCTTGCCTGTGGGCAGTGCCAGCATTTAAACTCAAGGTCTAATGCCGAAGATTAAGCAGTCTGCATGCTTAGGCTGCTGATAAGAGCCAAGGATGGAGCTGCATCTTTATCTGGGCAAGTTTTAATGTCAGATACAGACCTGTACAAGGAGAGAGAGAGGCCACCACCCATCTTTGGTGTGTGTCATTTCCAAGGGAGTTTGTGGACTTGTGGTTGGATTTGTGTCATCCACCTTACTTTGAGAAATCAAGTCTTTGAACTTTCAGAAACCTGTATTACCTCTAATCTGGGATACCTCCTACAGTACATCAAAGCTTTCACCTACAGTTCAACGTGTTGTCAAACAGTGCTCCCCTGTTTGCTCTCTGCAAGTGGGGTGTAGGTGTTAATGCTGCATAACTGCTTATGCTCCTGGCAGCGAAGTGCAGAGTACAAGGAGCAAAAGAGCTTGCTGTGTGTACTAAGAGCAGGGCTAAAGTATTTTTTATTGCATCTTAATGCAGCTAAGGCTGTCAAGTATTTCATAATAACCAGTCAGTGGAATGTGTTTACAAGTTGGGTGGTGAGGAAAACATTGGTGCACAAATATTCTCTGGGAATGTTGTAGATTATTCTCTCATTAGAGCTATTTATTGTAGTTCTTCCTATTTTAAATTATGTTTCCTAGAATGAAAAGCAATGGTTTTATTTTTTCAGAGGATACAGAAAATTTTGTAGTAGATCTGTGAATGCCAACAAAATTCTACAATTTTTTTTTTAAAGTTTTAAAGAGGAAAAAAGAAACAAGAATACCTTCAGGAGATGAAGAGTTAATTTTCCCAATCAGATTTTTCAGCAGGATACTTGCCATCTGTGAAGCTTTCTCAGAACTTATCTAGAAAGGGTGATTAACTCTGTGTCCCTGTTGGCATCTTGTCTGACCCTGGCTGCAAGACAATGTTGGGAATTGTTGCAGTGTGTCCCTCAGCAGACAAATAACTAAGGCAAGAGGAGTGTTTCCCAGCTGCAGCTGGGAATGCTGAAGGATGATAAGCTGTGTACAAGACCCTATGCAAGATGAAAGTAATGTATTTTATTTACTACAGGCTAAGCAGGAGCTCTGGAGTTACTGCACATTTCAATGCTGCTGCTTAAAGTACAGTATTAGGTTTTGTTATTTATTTTTCTTATGAAACTTACATATTGGTCAAAACATGGTTCAGTTCTAGCAGAAATTTGATAAAAACTATCAGCTGGGTCTTTGAGTTTCCATTGCACTGGGATTAAACCAGATTCCTAATGCTGTTTTGGGAACAAGGTTGATAACAGTATAAATATTTTTGATTTAAACTACCAGAAAGAGGCAGTATTCTGTTCTTGCTAGGAAAAACAACTGCCAGTGGTAGATTTTGGGTAGGAAAGCAGTTGTTGGTGACTTGAAAGAGTTAGGAAGATACAGGGGTGTAGCTGTGTAGTAACCTGCAGCAGTGCTGGTATTGTAACAGGCTTGGATTTGACTCTTGGTCTTTCATCATTCTCCCTCCCTGGTGCCTGTGCTGTTGGCTTTCAGAGGGCAGCTGGTGTAGCAGGAGCACAAACACTGCTGGAACACAGCATTGTCTGCTCTCAAACCCCAAGTTTTTTCTCCAGCACTGTCGAGTGCTTACTCACTCTGTAAGTGAAACAGCGATTGAGAGCAATAAAAACTCTTAGAAATTGGTAAGGCCACAGTCAGTGTTTTTTGAAGATGGCTTTTAAGTGTCTTTCTTTATACTTCATTAAAACCATTTAATTCATGCCAAAACCCCTTTGAATTGTGCTTCTATAAATGTGCATGCTGCCCAGCTGAAAGCAGCTTCTGGTTCAGTACTGAATGTTAGGGATGTTTGGAGGTAATTTAAAATCTTTTTTAAAATGTTTTGCTTTCTCCTGCCACTCTCAGAAGCCTGAGTCTAGAATTTAAAAGTCTGTATCTATGTATCTCTGGGTGCTTCTTAATGAGTTTCAGCATTTTTGTGTCCTTACTGAGACTCCTGTTCAAACAACCCGGTGGAATGCTTAAGGAGAAGTGAGTGGTAGCCGGTTCTTCTTAGGTACTGAGCACAGAATTCTTCATTAAAGACCAAGGTTTAAGGAAAGTGCTAAAGGTAGTTGTCATAACAAAGCAATTGGGTGGTTGAAGGAGATTGTGGGAGCAGCATTACTGGAGGACTCCTCTAGTCCTTTAAGAACTAGTATTTTACTAATTGGTCCCAACATAAGAAGATGCATCACAAAAACAGGTCTGTTGGAGGGTGAATCAGGGAGAAGTGGCATTTTGGCAGAGGTCACTTGCTGACTACTGTGAAATTATCTCTTCAAATTTTGCTCAGTCAGAGCTTTATATAATTAGATATAAAGCTGTCTGACAGCTTATCTTTGCAAGTATGAAGCGAGCAGAGTCTAAATCTTACTTAAACTAAAATAAGAAGCTTTCAGAAGTTAATTTTGCTAACTCTTGCAGCTATTTGCTTAGGCTCTCAGCTTCACTGAGGGACTGTACCATTGATGATCAACACAGAAGTTATACTCCCATTAAATAATTTCTTAGAAAAAACTAATGCTTCCTTTATTCTAGTTCAGTACAATTAACCACAATACTGAGAGGAAGCTAAGTCTGCTTTTGAAAAGTCAGCAATGCATGATTTTGATCACCATGATAACTTACCATGTAATTTTTAAAAGTAAAAGATAATTACATGACTGCCTAGAAGTGAAGAGTTGAATTAATAAAGGTGGAAGCCACATCTGAGATGTTCAGAACAGTTTGAGTATGATGGAGCTTCTTTAAAAACCAAGTTTAAAAGCTGATAAAGGTGCACAGGTGCTAACCTGTGCTATTAGGTTGGCACCATTAGAAGAACTTGAAAATATTGTTTTTCCCATATTCTGTGTTACCAAGAAATAGCAACTGCATTTCTGAAGTGGTGACTCACTGACATAAGGTAGGCTGTTGATTATTCTAAAGAGGAAAGATAGCTTTTGAGAGACAGTCTTAATGCATAATATTTAGTGGCTAATAATTACTAGACTAATGTACATATGCCCCTAAATTGGTAAAAAAGTAACTTGATTTAAAAGCTGAAAATCATTGTTTTGGGGCTGTGTATGCTCACCTGTATTGCTTTCAAGTTTGCAAAAAGTAGTACATTAGGAGTGGGCATTATCTTCTTTATTTTTGAGTGGTCTTTTAAAGAAAAGTCTTGAAATCTTGAATTACAATATTAGAATGCTACTGTTGTATCTTGAGCAGTAAAAATTCTAGAACATTCTGGTTGTGGTGCAAGACACTGGTCTCCTGTGCTCTTTTTGTTAAATCTTTTACTGTTGGTCCTACATGGTGTTTAACTAATCAGTCCCCTAGTATTTTTCTAGAGAATTCTGAATACTAGAACTTTTATTCTGAATACTAGAACTTTTAACAGGAAATAGAACAGCACATCTCAGTGAAGCCTCTTGACAGTGTTTCCAGGTACACATGTTTACAGATCATTTAGGAATGAGGAAGTTGGATTTAAACAGTAACAAAAAGGTAAACAATGATTTGGAGATTAAATTTGAAGAGGACTTAACACTGTCTACATGTGTGCTCTTAACTTCTTGATTAGAGTCTATACAATGTGTCTGTTGTGGGAATGCTTTTAATTGACAATAGCTTCCCACTTCCTTGCTGATATTCTTACACCCTCCTCCCAGGATTTGACAGTCATCAGAGTAGTATAATGCTAAATGTTCACAAGACCACTTATCCTTTCCTTCCAAGAGATGAGTCTGGAAGGTTGCAAACTAAAGACAATTTTATAAAGAATCTTAGCATGCTGTCCAATCCGTCTTGTCAGCTTTTCAGTTAACATTTGACTGGCTTATCAATCCTGATCATATTTAGGGCAGAGAAGCAGTGCAAACCAACAGCAACTAATGTTATCCTTTGCATTCCTACATGAAGGATTAGAGGCATGGCTTGGAGGAAATAATACTGAATTAGATATGCTGTCCTCTATAGATCCTTCATATTTTGGGATGGAGATGTCAGTAACGTGCTGGTCTAGAAGATGAGGTGCTTCTGTTATTAATATTCAGTATCTGGCTTGCTGAAGGGTGAGTTGCACAGAGATGCTGTAAAAATTTAAAAGTTTGGACTTCCATAAAAAATTATTTGCAATTTTTTTAATGTATCAGACACTTGATCTGCTGTAAACAAACTGTGATTTGCTCTTCCAAAGATAGAAAGTTTCTGCAGTTTGATTCTGATTTATATCAACCAGAGCCAAGAAGGAAGTAAAGGGATGCAATTTGTAGCAATTTCTGAGGTGAGCTGAAATAGTATTTCCATTTCATACTTACTGAAACTCCATGTATAAATAGTTATGAAGAAAACTTTTCCAAATCCAAGGGTGCCTATTCTTAGTGCCAGTATTCTTGTCATATTAAACAATATTTGAGTGCTGTCATTTCTGTTGCGTGGTTCCTCTATAATATTTGAGTGGCACAAAAGCTAAGAGGAGTGGAGCTGATCCCTAAGTAATGAAGTGGTTCAGATGTAGGGGATGATGCACTTACAGCTGGCTTCTCCCTGCTCTTCCCGGTGACACAGGACAATCCGAGTATGGCTGAAGAGAGACAGTGGGCAGTACTGGCCCAGCATCTATCACACCATGGCATGTAAGTACAATATGGATGTGCTAAGTGGTGGTCAGGCATAGTATGGGTTTTATAGCTGTGCTGTGTGTAGGAATACCTTCTTCTCATTTCCCCAAGGGCTGGATTCCCTCAATGATCTTGATTTTGGGAGCTTTGCAGCAAATCTAGCTCAGAGTTTGATTTAAAACTAGCTGCATGGTGGATGACATCTGTGACAGTGTTCTGTCAGAATCACATCCTTCACCACGTGAATCACTGTGGATCTGCAGCTGGAAGTGCCTCAAATGATGGCAAATAACTTATCTGCCAATTAAGAGAGCTTTTCTTAACCACTAGCTCAAAGTTGAGATGTAAGAATACTCTCAGCTTTCCAAAGTGTGCATTTTTGTCTTTCAGGGCTGCATTTGAGATAATTTTAGTGAGCTCAAGTTCTTAAGTGTCACCAGCTGTTGCTGTTAGCTCAGCTTTCAGCCTGTGTAAAAGTCCTCTTTCTGAGTTGCACCTTGTGGCAGGAAATCACATTTGCACATGGTTCCTGTTGGTATATCTGAGTTACAGTAGTCATGTTCCTGTCCTCAGCTTCACACGTGGGAATTGAACTGTCATTCCAAGGGATGTTAGCTAGGCAGACTAGTTTCTATCCAACTACTTAAACAGTTTTTGTCCTGAGTGAAAGAATTTACTTTTATTAAAGTCATGTGTATCCTAATACCTCTATTTAAATACTGTAATATACTTGCTTTTTTTGACAGCCCCATGTTCTGCCATGGCTTATCATCATGACAGCAGACGGATATTTGTTGGCCAGGATAATGGAGCTATCATGGTAAGTTGTTGTGACTTTTCTGCTGAATGTAGGTTAGAATTGCTCAGATTGCCCATGTGTTGCTGGCAGCTGATAGTCTGTTTTCTTTCCATTCATTTTGGAATGCGGCTACTGCTAAATGGCTGAGCTTCTTGGCAGTTCAGCTGAGACATATGTGGGAGGGCTGCAAAGCAAAGGTTCTTCTGGTTAGATGTGAGCCAGGTAGCCTTAAGAAGCCCTTGAGCCATTAGTGCAGCAGTGGACCCAAACAATTACACTTGGCCAAGCAGTTGTTTTGAGGGCAGTACAGTAAGCTGGGCAGAGTGCCATGGTGGTGCTCTGACAGGAGTTGTGAACTGCTGTTGGTTTGCCCCTGGCAGGAGTATGGATCTGTCTGCATCCTGCCTACATACATCTCTGGATTTGCTTGCTGCAGATCTTTTTATAATGTAGAAATTTTAATACTAGCTCTAAAATTTTAAGAGGCTGAGTTAATCTCTTTTCTTGCTGGGAATTCTTTATTCTCTCTTTGTATATATTGCTGTAATTGCTGTCCCAATCTTGGAGAGCATACACTTGGCAGAACAGAAACTGGGTTTTATTCTTCCCACCTTGGTAAAGGAGGGGAATCTTGTGACTCTCAGATGCTTTAATGGTTTCCTTTCTGTATGAAAATAAGGTCAAAATAATAACTGCCCCATAAAGGGCCAGGGTACCACATGATAAAGAGTGATTCTACAGATAACTACTATGAATAGCCTACAAAGAACTACATAGAATTCTAGTGATAACTACTGGAAATTTATGTTGAGACTTCTAAAATTTCATTAAGTCTAATGGGTCAAATAGAGAACCATGTCACTTAAACCTGTCTGTTGTGAAGTCACGAACGTGCAGATCCTAAGTACTACAAGATACAGTTTTGTTTGCTCGTGTTGGGGAAAAATGAGATCTTATCTCTCCCTATAATCTCCCTTCAGTAAACTCAATTCTGAAAGGATGTTCCCTGTTGAAAGTTCAGTTCACTTAAAACCTTAATTTACAGTTGTTATTTCAGTGTGCGTTGTTCTAGCCTCAGAAGCTGCCTGTTTTTAGTGGGATATAGTGCTGCTATGCAAATTTTTCATCTGAGGTTGCTGCTTCTTTTTGGGTATCAGTGTTGCTTTATGCCACTATGGTATCTTCTAACAATTTCACTTTGTTTTTAGGAGTTTCATATTTCTGAGGACTTTAATAAGATGAACTTTGTGAAGACCTATCCAGGTAAACAGTTAACCACTATCTACACTAACATTTGTGTAAAGGGAAGGTATCTACAATGTTTGGGAAACTGAACACAGTCACACATGAATCAAATCCAGATATGCTTTAACTCTGACTGACCTTACAGTTGTCACTTTGGGGATAACTGCCATAAGAAAAATGTTCTGTCAGACAGGTGAGTCCAAGTTATAGTCATTATCATCAAGTTCACTACATCATTAGCCTGCAATGTAATGAGCCAGAACTAGTGAGCTTGGATTCTGCTTTTCAGCTGGAGTAGTTGTACTACATGAGTGTTGCTCTAATGGTGATTTTGGCATTAGCAGTTTCTCTCCTTACTTCTTGTAATCAAAAGGCTTGGTTACTCCTAGCTCAGGGTAGGAGTCCATACCTTCTTTGTCATCCTAGAAGAGCAACAGGGAGGAAAAAGAGCTAATTTTTCCAATATGTGGGAAACAGAGTTTGTGGGATTGTTCTAATATTTATAGATATACTAATTTCAACATTTGTCTGTACACATGCTTCAGAGAAATACAAAACTCAATTGTTGGCTAAAATTGGACTATGGAAGGCCTGAAGGAAGCTCTTAAAGACTGCAGATGATGTAGCAAAACAAAGTGCAGTTTGTCTTGTGACTCCCTGACACCGATAGAAGCAATGTTCTTGCTTGGGAGAAAAAGACCTTGTTAAAGCAACAAAACCTCCCTTTGTCCTAAGGGAGATGATTTGACAATTTAGTCAAGGGAAGTACTTGCATCTTGGGGGATGGGGGAGGCTTCTTTCTAAAGCATGTGTAACTTCTTGCTTAGTGGCAGCATTCTCAACAAAGCTGGGTGGGATTTGGTTGCTGCCACAGGAAGCAGTTTGAATGCCATGGACTAGATAGCCTTTCAGGTGCTTGGAATTATGAATGTGAGCATAGCACTCCTGGGTTATGAACAGGTGCATTTAGTAAAGCAATTCAAGTTTTCAGATGTGTTGCATTACTCCGCAGAAGTCCTGAGCTAACTAGAGGAAGCTGAGGGTTTCCCTGTTCCTTAACCTTGGGTATCTGGGCTGAACTTAGCTTCTCTCTCTGGGGGGAAGGCTTACATCAGCTGAGTGATGGGTTTGGTTCACTCAAGCTATTCAGAAAGCAAATCCTAAACAGAACTATGGGAACCTTTTCATTCAGCCAAAATGGAAGTATTATATAATGGTGAAAGATCTCCCTGGGACATTGCCTAGATATCATCTTCAACCTCTGTCTGTCTGAATTAGAATGGAAGTACACAGCACTTTGATTTCTGGGGGAAAATAGCCAGAACCTTTTTCTTCTCACAGCTCACCAGAATCGAGTATCTGCTATTACTTTCTGCCTGGCATCAGAGTGGCTTATCAGCACAGGTCATGACAAGTGTATCAGCTGGATGTGCACCAGGAGTGGAAGCATGCTGGGGAGACATTACTTCACCTCTTGGGCCTCATGTCTACAGTATCCTTTAAAAAATGATTGCTACCCTGAAAATGGAAGAGTAGTTTGTTTCTTCACATCAATTTGTTCCCAACTTTTCATGTATAAAAACTAAAGAGACATCTCTTGCAAGTCTGCTAACCCTTATTCTCATTAGAAGTTTAATACTTTTATTTCTGTTAGTGGTTATTAGATAGCAGAAGAGACCTTGAGCTGCAGAAATCCCAGTCTGTACTAGTTCCTAATTCTGAGGTGTCTGTCTGTAGCATCTTGTGGCAGTGACAATATCTGTAGCCTGGCCTGTAGACTTCCTGGGCACTTCACGTTGTTCAACAGATGCCAGTGTGCCTTTGAGTCCTTCTAGAGCATAAAACATCATGAAACACTTAGACTGTTTTAATTTTTCTGTCATTTCTCAAGTTAATATTTTCTAAATTTAGGCTACCAGGTATATTGAAACTTCATTCACCAATAGTATTTTGTCTGTGTACAATTTGCTTTCTGAAAACTATGTTTAACTGCAGCATTTACAGCTTAGACACTCTATCTATTCAGCTGTAAGTACTTCAGGGCATTCTTTACCCTGTGTAAAAGACTTACAAACCCAGTAGCTTGAAAAGTAGTTCACATATCAAAGCTTTTGAAAGCAAACTAAACTAAAATTATTTTTTTAGCACTTGTTAATGGTGGCAGCTTAGATGTGGCCAGACAGTAATTAAAGGTATTAGTTGCTGTATGAGGTTTGATGGCAATAATGTTTTAGAAATAGCAAGATTGAAAAACTAAAACAAGTCAATATCTCTTGAAAACATGAAGCCCTCTGTGGGCTGTATACTTGTGTCCTGGTAAGAAGCTGGGAGGAAAACTCAGTTGCCAGCTGCATGTCTGTCCTTCTGAGGCCTCCCATCTGTGCAGACCCTGCCATACTGGCTGAAGAACTGTCAGGTTTGTACTGTTGTACTGCTGCTCCTTTGTAGAATCCAGCGGAGTTGTGTCCCACAAAACATTCCATGTGTGACTCACTTCAGCCAAATGCAGCGCAGAATAGGTTAAAGCTGGTATGTGTGTTGGAGATCAGCTCACAGCAGTCTGGTGAACAGTCTGAGCCTCTCTGAATTCAGTGGCTTCTATAGCTAATGCTATTGCAAATAATGGCAGTTTATTATTAAAATGGAGAAAAGAATATGACCTTTTGTATCAATATAAAAATAAATTTCCATTTAATAACTTGACATTTGAAAATCCATTATCTGCCTTTGGATTTGTGTTTGGAAGAACCAGCTTGCTGGTGTGTGTACTAGGTGTTTGGCCTCCCTATCAGGAGGTTCCTTAGAACATTGTTTGTTAATGATCCTATGTGTAAGCTTCTGAAAAACACAGCAGACTGACTATTCTTTACTGGATTAGTGGGGATATGGCAAGCCTGAACTTCAGGATAGAGAAAGGATCACATGTTCAGGGAGTTAGAGGATTTGTTGAAAGCAAATTGTTTATCTCACAATCCTAAAGGCTTAAGAGATTTTGGAATGTCATCAGATGGCAGAGCCTGTGCATTTTCACTTAGGCTGGTGGGCTTTTTGGTAGACTGTCTTAAAGTTAGCCTCTGTTGGATACCAGAGGCTACTTTTCTAGCTGCTGCTTGTGGTTTTGTGTGGTTCAAGGAAGATACCTAAGTTTATACACAGCTCTTGGGTTATGTGGTGTTAGCTACATGGGTCTTTCATAGCTCTTGCTTATATTCTGAATAACAAAAATCTTCTAAACCAGAACATTGGGAGTATACTTGCACTGCAAGGTGACCTCGTTCTGGAGGGTCAGCATTCTTGTATCTTGTTTTCCTCTCCTGGTGATATCAACATGCTAGAAAACAAAGGGTTTATTGGAGAAGATACTAGGTAAGACTGAATGCAGGCTGGTGTCCATTGAGGTGCTCCTAATGGTTGCAGAGAGCTCTGCACTTCAACAAGTAGCCTGATAAGTTTTAGCATCTTGTAGACAAGCATGAGTGTGTTCTGTAAATAGCTGCTAGAAATGGCCTGAAGCTACTTGTCTTGCCTTAAACTAGGGCATGGATTATCTCATGGCTTTCTCCAGTGGCTTTCTAAAACTCTTCTCCCTTATTTTCTGTACAGTTTTACTTGCATGTGCAGGGAAGTGTGATAAGAAGGAAGGAATAAAAAAAGTTTATTACAGTCTCCAAACACTTTAAAAGTAATTATGTAAATATTTATTTGGCATATTAAAATGTTCTTTTCCAATTTTTTTACTTTATAGCTGACTGTTTCAGTAATGTAAAATACTCTTTGAACAAATGAAGCTTCTTGACTGGTGTTCAGATATGATCATGAAACTCAGCATGCCTTTGTTGGTGATTATTCTGGACAGATCACTCTTCTGAAGCTGGAGCAGAATACCTGTTCAGTTATCACAACCCTTAAAGGGCATGAAGGTAAAGTAACTCTTTGTCTTAAAGCCACTTGTCCCAGATACGGTACCTCTTTGTAAGTTGGGGTGAGTTGTTCAGTTGTATATCTGCCTCTTAAGGGTAGATACTGCATGAAAAACCAGCCCAGGGTAGTGGTTGTCATAAGCTGTTGAAAGCTGTACTTGACTTCTGTTAAAGAACAAACACATTCTAACTGAAGGGAAATCTTAGCCTTATAAATACTTACAGGTATTTTTATTATAGATGAAAAATAAAAATAAACATATGCATTCAATTAAACACAAGTTATCCACTAGATGGCCACCTCTAAAAGCTTTAGTCTCAACACTGGAGAGAAACTGCCTAGCCTAAGGCAAATGTCTCATCCTCTACAGTACAGCTGAAGTCCTTATATCAAATGAAGAATCAGGTGGTCCATAACATGATACAGAGCCACTGTCTGCTGCAATGAGTAAGGCAAGAATGCAAATCAAAGAATAATGTGTAACTTAATAATATGCTGAGTAAAATAAACAAGACAATGCCTTTTCCCATGTGGTACTTGCAACTTTCAAGTCAGCTGACAGTTTGCATGTGGGTAGGGATGAACTACTGGGTCATGAGTCTCTGACTCACTGAAAAACTGCCTTGTTTAACAGCTGGAAGTATAGAGTAGGCTTTTTTAAAGCTGGGTATATTCCTGATTTACAGATGACTGTAAAATTATACAGCTGGTTTTGAATGCAGGAGGCAAGTTGAGATTTTCAAGTGATAAATGTCTCTTCTGCTTTCAAGGAGAATTTCAGATTGTGTCAGTTTAGAACAAAGTAATTCTTTTGGCCCTAGAGACTTCTTTGCCTCTCTGTGCTTTTGGTTTGTGTTCAAATGCAACTTCTTGGTAGATGTTACAGTTAGTCTGAAAGCAGTATGTCTGTGTGGAACTTTCTTGTAGTGTGTGTTCTGTCTCTTGAGCTGTGATGGGCTTCCAAGCACCAACATAGCAGTGCTGTCCACACATCTGCCATCTTTGCCTCCTATATTTCAATATGGGGACTGTGATCCTTAAAACAAGAATTGAGCTAGCATTAAAGATTATTTCAGGGGCAGAAACAGATTTTTCTTCAGGTGGTATAGTGCTAGTTATTTAAACTTTTTTTTAAAGCAAATCACATTATGCATAACTTTTTTTTCTCCACTACATTTGTGTAATATTCTTAAGACCTAGTAAATCTAAACTTAAATGGCATCTGATTCTTCTTTGAGTACAGTTGTGTTTAACAGACTTTAAAAGTCTGATTTCATCTTGTTTGCTTTCTAGCTCTTGCTCAGTGTGACTTCATAAGCAAGAAGCAACTGCTTTGCAGTTTAAATGGTTTCAGAGTTTGTTCTCAGCTTCTAGAATTCACCATGTATAGCAGTCTGCTCTGTGTAATGCTGAGATAATACTCAAAGTTCATGGCTTTTTGGTGCACATGCTGTTTCCAAATGGGTCAGTCTGAAAACAGCATAGCCCTAAAGGAGGCAAAAAAAATTGCTTGCTTCAGAGCTTTGGAAAGAACTGATTTGGGCTCTAATTACCATTTGTCATCTTGGTTTCAGACTAACAAGGCTTTTGGTAGCAACTGAGCAATGGAAGGATTCTTTAAAGGGAAGGATCTCTGCAAGGGAATGAAATGTCCCAACTTCACAACTGTCGGTGGCATGAGTAACAAAATTACTGCTTTAGTCTACTGGCCACCTTACCATGGGTATGGGTTTAGTATAAGGCTGCTACTGTCAGATTTCTTTCTATCCCTAATTCACAGTTGCACTTCTGAAATCTGGTTTTGTAATTTAGTGAGTAGTGGCAGATTTGCTAAGAGGAGTGAAGTTCTCACTTTGTTTCTTAGTCCAGCTATTTTAAGGTTGTAAATGCTTATGTGAGGGAGTTGCTTTAGCTGAGAACACTGCAAGCTGTGCTGCAACCACTGACCAAGTACCTCACTGTGTTGTAGATACTGGTTTCTGCTTGGCAAGTGTTAGTACTTCTATCTTCCAAAGCTCACATAAGCAGCCTGGCAACTCTTGAAATCACCTACCTAAATACAAGGAGCAGAACTCAGACTTTCTGGCTTATGCTGTATCTGTCTTAGGGACATCTGTTCTGTTGTCCAGTACTTCTCACCCCTCTGTCAGGACTGCACTTTGCTGTTGATGCTTCCTTTGCTTTAAGGCTTTCAATATGTTACTGGAGTAAGGCAGTACCCCAGGTTTCACTTTAGGAGGGCATCACTGCACTGGGGAGTCGGTCCCTTACATCTAACTGCAGAATGTTCTTTCCTAGGGAGTATTACTTCCCTGTGGTGGGATCCTGTCCAGCGGCTGCTCTTCTCAGGTGCCTCTGACCACAGCATTATCATGTGGGATATTGGTGGAAGGAAGGGGCGAACACTGCTGCTCCAGGGACATCAGTATGTAATGGAGTCTCATTTTTCATACACGTCCTCTCATGAACACGCAGTCCCAGCGTGGCAAGATATTTGAATCATTGTGAAGAAAGGAGAAAATGACTCTTTGCAGAACCCTGAGTACTTTGAAGGGAAAGAAGGATAATCAGTACTAGGAGAGCCTTACTGATAAAGCATTCTTCATGTTTAATACATTCTTATTACCATGGTTTAGAAGTAGCACAGAAGTAGTTCACAGAAGGATGTAGGTAAAAATCCTAAATCATCTGGTTTGGCCTTTATGTAAAAATTGCATGTGTCTGTATTGTAAATACTGCACTGTACCTGTGAGAGGAGGGCTAGAACCTTTATGTATAAGCATGTTCATGTACACATATAAAATAAGCTTCAATATGTTCCTGTTCTCTCCGTCTTTCTATCAGTGATAACTGATTGGCTAAATTACAGGGGTAGTCTCAGCTTCAGAAAGTGTCATGTTTCCCCTCTTCTGAAGTTGAGGTAGTTTTCTGTAACAATCAACTCTTAATTTTTAGAGACCCAACACTAGCTGCCATTTTTAAATGTAGGGCTCTAATTCAGTCTGGCAGGCAGTTCACCACTGAAGATATATTCTACTTATGGTAGAATGCACTGGTACCAGAATGCACTGGTAGTAGAGATCTTGTTTATATTTAAAGATATTTGTATAGCGTGTTTTCTTCTTGTCTAATTCCATAGATGCCTTTATCCACCTTTGATCAAGACTGATAGCCTTAGCTCTAGAACTCTTGAGAGTTTAGTTTTATGGCTAAAGAATTAATAATAGAGCCTTGGTTACAAAAAAGTGACTGAAGTCAGTGACTGAAGGACTTCATACTGCTGTTACTGCTGCCTCATGTGTCTTGGTGAATATTTGTAAGAGTTAGGTTTTCTTCCTTCTGAATTGGAAAGTAAGTTATTCTGAGAAGCAAAATGACTTTTTAATTCAATTTAGATGTTGCAAAGCACTTTGATACTACTCTTAGGGCAAACTTTTGTTTTGACATTACTTTCTTTATGATTAAATTGTCTTTTTGGTGAATGCATACTTTGCTTTTTAGCTACAGCCTGACTTACTGTGATTTTTTTAGTAAAAGTGGAACCTCTGTCTGCTGCTTATTTTCATCTTGAAACAAATATTTATCTTTATTTATCCAATTGTTTCTGTTTTGATAAGTGGCTCTCCTTGCCAACACAGAAGAGTATTTGCACATGCACTCTGAGTCAGTTGACACTCATTTCACCATCAGGGCTTATTGCCAGCAAATGTTAACATGGAACTGTACCTCTGGTATTCTGGTCAGGCCTGTAAGAACATTCTCAACAACATCCTGATGCTAGGGTGGTGCTCAGGTGACAGCACCTGTTCACTCATCCTCAGAGCTCTACTTAGTGAACTTAGCAAACTGAAAATCAGTTTGGAGCTTCCTCAGTAGCTTTATTTACAAGTATAAATCAGGGTTTGCTGAGAAACCAAGCTTTGTTTAAATACTTGTGGGTAACTAGTGTGTGCTTTGTTCGCAGTGACAAGGTGCAGGCTATCTGCTACATCCAGCTGACACGGCAGCTGGTGTCTTGTTCAGCTGATGGGGGAATTGCTGTGTGGAACATGGATATCAGCCGAGAGGAGGTAAGTTCATCTCATACATCAAAGATTTTTTTCTTTTTTCCCTTTTCAGAGACTAATGTGACTTTCCTTAGTCAGTTCTTCAGGCTGTTTTCCTCACGTTGTCTGACACTAAACCTGAATGATATTATTAAAACCTGTTCTTGTTCTAATGGCTGTTCATGCTGCATTGTAGTAAATGGGTTCCCAGGAGAGGAAAAGGGCAGGAGATGCTTGGGACCGCTTAGAGTTTTATCTCAAAGAGACAACAGGTTCACTGGAATGGCTGTGGCCTTTGCTTCTGGAACAATCTAAAATGGTCAGACTCTTGTGGTAAAGAATCCAAAGGACTGTGCTTCAATAGTCTTGAAATAAATTCTCAACTTGTGTCAAAGCAAGTAAAGACGTGAGAGGCAGATTTTGAGATGCAGTTCAGACTGCAGAGGTTCAGTCCTCAGGCAACACTTTTTTTAAAGATCTCAGTACAAAGCAATTGACCCAGCCATACACTTTCTTTCTGCATCAGTTCATATCCATGGTGGTGCAAGTGAGAATGCTCTTGTTTTCTTACTGTCAGCAATGTATGTGAATTGAAAAGAAAAAATGTTTAGTTGTTCCAGCTTTCCTCCTGTCAAATTTCAGGGAGACTCCCTCATGAGATGTATAAAGTTGTATAGAATATCCATGTTCAAATTCAAATCCATATACTAAAAATATTGTGCCTCTCTTTCTATCTCTTACATGGATGTTCAGTTTAAGTATCTCAGAAAGCTGAAATGTGTAAAAGCTCTATTTTCATTTGGCTTAGACCATTTACAGCAGGAAAAGTGCATGGGTGGGAGAAGGGATGCTTAACAAAGATGGGGCCAGGATGGAAAATGTAGATGAATTCCTAATTATTTCAAACTGCAGTCCCATGAAAGTAGAAAATATAATTACTCACAGAATTTACTTCTGGACACCCCCTTTCTTAAAGGGGATTACTGCTTCATGGCTTCTGCAGTTTGGACTACACTGGTCCTTAAAAGCCATCTAGACAACCAGAGCAACAGTCTTTGAATGCCTGCAGTGGTTTAGTAACTTGGATATTTGAATGAGTTTTCTTATTAAGGCAGTAACAGAATATATTCCTATAAGCTTAAAAAGTGTAGGAGGTGTGTAGGTAACCAATAACTGCATTCTTGGGTTTGAGGTTTTTGTGCTAAACTTCCTTTGTACTATGCTCTAGGCAATTTATTGTTGTAATGTCCAGAACTGAACCAGGGCATCTTTCCAAGTAAGACTTTACTTTGGGTTCTTAAACTTCCTTGACTGTTATGTGAAGGAAAACAATTCTGATTGCTTACATCTCCTCCTCTTTTGTAGGCTCCTCAGTGGCTAGAAAGTGATTCCTGTCAGAAGTGTGAACAACCTTTCTTCTGGAATATAAAGCAAATGTGGGACACAAAGACAATAGGGTTGAGACAGGTGAGATGGCTGGTTTCAGTGCTTAGCTGTACTTCAGTACTTGAGCAAAATGTAGGCTGGTAGATCTTTTTATCTTTGGTATTTTTGCTGCTTTGAAGTGAGGTATATTGAGAAGATACAGCTTCTAAGCACTGCTAAGACATTTCCAAATTCCATGAAAGTGTTGTATCAAACTTCTGCCACAGGTCAAAGTAGGCTGTGCTAGGAGTGTTCTGTTAGATTTCTCTGAATGTTCTCATGCTTTAGAACTATGGACAGCTAATCCTCAATTGTAATGTAAAATGGCAAACAGTGCCCCATAGCAGAGACTGTAGATGCTCACTCCAGTGAAATACCAATGGCCCTGTTCTTACTGCACCAGAATGTTTTTAACTGGATTGCTTGTTCAAGCCTCTTTTTCCCCTTCTCCCAGAAGGAGGTTGCTGGAGAAGAGGATATACACAGAGTATGGGGATAAATATGTTAATTTTCAAAAATGACTGTTCACAACTCCAGAGACGTTGGTCTTTAGTTGAAGAAACAGGGTGTTTCCTAGCAGGTTGCTTTCTAACAGGTTGCAAAACAGAAGCTTTGTTGTTTTTGTTGTGCAATAGACACTTGATACGGTGGTCGAGTGACGGAGTATAGTGACTTGTTTATTTTCTTCTTCCTCCATGAAGCATCATTGCAGAAAATGTGGGCAAGCAGTGTGTGGCAAGTGCAGCAGCAAACGGTCGAGCTACCCGATCATGGGATTTGAGTTCCAGGTCCGTGTCTGTGACTCCTGTTTCGAGTCGATCAAGGATGAAGAGTGAGTATTAGGGAGTAATAAACTGTAGCAATACTGCTGGTGCGCAGAAACCCTTGGGCTTGCTCCACATCCACACACAGTGCTACAGAACACACTGAGCTGATGCTCTGCTGTTAGGCCTTGGGCACTGAAAGCACTGTGATGGCAGAGATCCCCCCATCTGCCTCTGCAAGTGCTTTTGGATCAGATGTGGAGTTACAATATTTTTATCCTTTTTTAGTTCTTCTTTTCCAGGAGCCCAGGTCTAGACTTGAGATATATTTGTCTCAACATTTCAGTTTAGTTAAAAGCTATTGATTGCACTTAACATTACTAAGTGGGTGCCAGGCAATGCATTCCAACTGCCAGGATGTACATGCATTAGTTCATGTGCACTTTTTAAAACTTTGGGAATATTCTTCAGAGCTCAGCATTATTTTTGCCATGCAAGCAAATCAGGTTAAACATCATTAAACTTGTCTTAGAAATGAAGGAACCCCTTTTCTCTTGGTATGAACAGAGTAATGAGATGTGAAAATTTTGGGTGTGTTCGGGGTTTTTGTTGTGTTATTGGGTTTTTCATTGTTGGGACTTTTGCTTGGGGTTGGATTTTTTGGAAAAGTAGGATGGTGTGCCCTGGTTGGCTTCTGTAGCCAGCAGGGGAAAAATGAACTTGACTTTATTAACCAGGAGTAGAGATATTTGCTAATTCAGTGTCCCACTTCTGCTCTAGTATTATTAACAGTCATGCTGCAGAAGGCCAAGAAATGTCACACCTGTACAACTCCACAAGCAGTGCCTTAGCATGACTTGCTAATTTAATTCTGTCTCCTTTAATATGGCACTGCAGCTCTTGGAATAGATTTATTCATACTTGAGCAACGTAATTTTTTAAAGTTTATTTTGCAATGCTATAATGATGGCATGAAGCTTCATCTGATGTCTGGCTTCATTTCAATTGTTCTTGTGCAGCCGTACTTCCCTGGCAACTTTTCATGAAGGCAAACACAACATTTCACACATGTCCATGGACATCTCCAGAGGGCTAATGGTGACTTGTGGGAGCGACCGGATTGTGAAGGTATTGCTCCATCTCTTTCCTGCATTTCTAAGGGACATATAATAGAGAAGATAATTTTTGTATATTCTTCCTTTCTTTCTGACAATTATTGCTAAAAGCTATCTATTGTGTGAAGAAGGAATTGTGTTTGCTAACCTGTTCTTCTGCAGCTGAATGAGAAAATGACTTGTATTTCCAGTGTATGGAGTGCAGCTGTTGTGTCTCCAAACAAACACAGCAGGCATGGGCAGCAGGAGAATCTGCCAGCAGCGTTAAAGACACAAGCCTGAGGAAATGTGCAGGTTGCTTTGCTCTGAGCTCCATGGCTTGGAACATGGCCTCTGAAAGCCCTTGTTAGGAGACAGTGACATGGAGCTCAGACTGATATGGAATCCAGACTGATATGGAATCTTCTTGTGCCTGGGCTCTACATTCACCATACATGTCAGAACTGAAACTGTGCCATCCTGTTCTTGTTTGCCTCTAAGCATGTTTGTGACAAACTGCATAGCACTTCTTAAAACAGACCTACACAGAAGTTCAAGAAGACTCTTCAACCCCAAATTTGGCTTTTGGTTTGCAATGCTGGTGTAACTCTATGAGATTTTCCTCAAGCATAGGTCAAAAAGGAGTTGTTACCTGGTGTCTAGGGATATCCTTGTTTGCTTCTAGACCTGTGAGTCTGACACTAATGCTGTGTAATTCTCCACAATTCTCTTCCAGATCTGGGACATGACGCCAGTAGTTGGTTGCAGCCTTGCCACTGGATTCTCTTCCCGCTGATCTCCTCCATGGCAGGTTTATGCACCTTATGTACAGCAATATGCACCGAATGAATGGAACCCTCCTCAAGAATATTACTGCAAACACTGGTTGCTTGATTCTCCTCCTGCTGCTGTTCCAGGATGGACAGTCACCCTTGTAGAGCACAGTTTTTCTGTTGGGCTCCCCGGGAATCTCCGTGGTGCTGAGTGCGGTTCCGCAGCCTCTGGGACTGACATAAACGGTTTATCTGCAATATGACACCTGGGTGGAAGGACCTGTTGTCTCTCAGTTTACATACGTAGTGTTAACAATGTGCTATCTCTGCTGATATATCTTGTACAGATACCTTGTAGCTCAAACATTACCAGATTAAAATGAGTGTAGTAAATTCAATTTGTGCAAATAGTTAAATAACTTATTCTCTTGTCCAAAAAGCAGTTCTGTTGAAATGTTTTTTGAGCAGTAAGTTGCCTCCAAAAGGTATGTTGGTTATTCCTATGGAAGGGGGAGATAGCTTAAAGTGGAAGGTAGCTTCTTTCAGATGAGATAGTAAGAGAACCTTTGATCACACAAGATCTTTTATTGGCTTTCTTGTAGTGTTTGTCTTCAAGTTCAATTGTTAGTGAAATCACTTTTGTGGAACAGCTGTTCTGTGTAGGTAGCTGGTGAGTCTGCAAACAATCCTGGGCTTTTTATGTCGTGTTTTAGCATAGCTGATAAACTTCTGTAGTTATGAAAACGTGCAGCCGACCTACTCTAAAGACTGGCCACAGGTATGAGCCATGTACTCTGACAACTATAATGTTGTTAGAATGGAAACCTTAACAAACCTGCCTTGTTACAAAGAATGGTTAAGAAAAGATGGCCAGCCAAATTTTAGAGATTTTTTTTCTGTGGAAAGGCTGATGTTCTTTAATGTTAGGGAACCTGTCTCTGCTAAAGTACAGCATAAATTTGAATATTGTCTTGATGTTGCTTAAAACAGGTAAATACTGAGCAATAATTACTGAGGTACAGAACAGCTGCTTTTTTCCCTGCACCTAGGAGTGTTAATTCTGATATATCTATATTGATCCTTTCCTGTTTCAAAGCTGAGAAGTATGAAGAAGAGCTGTGAGACTTTTATGACTGTGCAGTTGGCACATAAAGGAAATAACTAGTGAGAGATACTGTCAGTAAACTGGTTTGTCAGTTGAATGAATCTCCTACATTTGAATACTCTAAATGAGAATTTATTTTGTAACTTTGGAAGCTAAGGTGATGCCACAGAGTTTAAGCTTGGAGCTGTTAAGATTTATCTGAAAACAGATGCAATATATGTGAGGACAAAAAAGGGTAGGTCAGCTGGCCTGGAATAGGTGGTGTTACACTATTATCAAAGGTAATCTGCTCTTTCTGGCAGAAGAGTTGAGGGTTAGACTGTCTTTATTTAGAGCAACAATCAAGTGGTGCTATGAGTGTTAGTGAATTCAAGCCCTAGTGTGTAACTTGACACTAATAATCTGCATTGGACCATGCTGTAGGCTGAAATAGTTTAAGATCATTAATACATCATTATTCACTTGCCTTTTAAGCCAAAAATCTGATAGTCTCCAAAGGGCATTAGAATACAGAATATGATAGTTACTGTTACTTTGTCTGCTTTTCCATGGGCCTTCTCTGGAAGTTTTGTGAAGAGTTTTTATTTGCTGGCCTTATTGGGCCACTGAAGAATAAATAAAACCATCTTTTGTGGGGATTCCAAAACTTGTCTTGCCTTCAGTCCAGGATTTACCAAGATGCTGAGGTGTGACTCCTTTGCAGTTAGCACTCCAGAACTCAGCTTTTTTAGTTCTGATTATTCAGTGTGCCCCTGCTCAGCACGGAGCTCCACACTCCCTTCCCTGTGAATACTTCCTCTGCTTCTTTACATTATGTTTTTGCCACTAGATAATATATTCTCTACTGCCTAAGGAATCTATTTTCTATAATTGAAATACTTAAAGATTGTGTCAGTTCAGTTATAATGACAATTTTGGCCACTAAATCTTTAGTCTTTTAAGTATACTCTTGGTGTTGAATGAGTAATGCTCACAAACCACTAAAGAGAGAGTAGTTTTGTTTATAAACAACTAAATTGAAGGCACTCATTCTCTCATCAAACTGAACATACTTAGCTATGTCAGCTCAAGTGTGCAATTATTGAGAAGCCTTGATTTGAAGCATTACAAATCTTGCTTGTGTAACCTCTTCCATTGGGGCAGGGAAGGGGAGCAAAGGGTACTAATATGTGCTAATTTGTTCCTAGTTGTATTTCTGTACCCTACATAGTTAAGAGAATCTAGATAAACCTGTCCTTTGCTCCTCCTTGTCTGTTTTTTAAACTTTGATTACATGTACAATAAAATATTTCTTGATATTCACTTAGTCTATTTGGATGATCCATGTTTTTTTCCATGCTGTGAAAGCACAATCTCCATTTTGTGCTCTGGCTCTTTCTTTACGTGCCCCACGTACAAATTGTAGGTTCCTGGGAGAGCTTGTTGGGTGTGTTGTACTGGAACTGAATGAGCTGCAGCAGGTCAAAGGCCCACAATGAACCAGTGAGCTGAGACGAGCAACTGCTGTGTGATCCCAGTTAGGGATGTGTAACCCTATCCTGTGTTCTGCTTGCCAGCTCATACAGACATCTCTGGTTCATCTGGCTGCCCTTCAGAGCTCTGCAAAGGTTCTTTTCCTGAGATGCCTTGGTCCTGTCTGAGGTGCCAGAGAAATGCTAATTTTGCTGGATGGGGTGAGCACAGCCTACAATATAATCTATACAGAGCACACAGCCTGCAGCTACACAAGCTGTGGTTGCACTTGTTTCATTATACTTTCTCACAGGGAAAGGATGCAGATAAACTGGAAAGCATCCTTATCCCTCACAGCTGCTCACAGTCTTCACAGGCTCAAATACAGCACTGGCTGGCTTTGGAACACTTGGAATGTCTGAGTGTTGGTTGATCACTATGTTGTGTGGCTCACTGCTTCCTTGGGATATTTGGGAGCCAGAGGGGGAATCTGGAAGCGTTTGACAAACTTGCCACCTTTGAATGAAGGCTGAAGAGCCCGTGTGGTATATAATAATTTCTTTGTTTTTTGTTTTTTGTTTTTTTTTTTTCTAACATTTTGAACTGCTTAAACTTCTCACAGTTCCCAAGGCAAATTCCAGTGTTTTCTAGTTACAACAAAAACTGATTGAAAAAAAATGAAACTGTTGCTGATGTGTAGTCAGAGAAGCCTATTTAGATGTCTATGTAGACCATTATATGTTTTGAATACGGCATATGAACTCTAGTTAAAGTTGAAGATGCTGAAGAGTTGCAAATGGTGTCCTTGTAGTGAAAGCACAATAATAGATGTATTGGTTTTCTGAGAATGCACAGTTGATCACTTCTCAAATTCCTGATACTGAAAACTTCATTTATGTTTCAGATAGCTGTGCCAGGTCTTAGTACCTGTAGTGTTGACTTTACTCATTGAGGAGATTTAGAGTACACCAGATGGAGGAAAGGGACAGATTTTTATGTTGATCAGATTCACTAGAACAGAGTTCAGAAGGAAAGCTCTCAAAGGTTTTTTATCTCTGTTGACCAAGTCCTCAGTGCTGAATGACCTGACTAACTGTGAAATGCCATGATCAAACACTACAGAAAATGATGAATTTCTACCAGCCTAACATTTAAAAACTGGTTTTGTCATCAACTAACCATCTTACAGGGAGTTTCAATGTGGCCTTTGAAGGCTTTTTCTGCCTCTCATTCACAAAGGCAAGGATCAAGGATCTCTGAAGTGACTGCTATCAAGTGATCCTATAAAGCTTCTTGTCCCTTTGGAAGATGTAAGGGCATGGGCTCTAGGTAGCTGTGTAGTTTGCTCAGCTTTTAATATGCAAAAGCTAATTGCTGAACAGATTCAAAGACAGCATTGCTTGTTTTATTATCTGGCAATTGAAGTTTCAAAATAATATCAGTAATAAAATATCTGGATTTGTTTTCATAAAATTAAAAATCATTAAGTGAAATATACAGGGTCATTAGAAATTTTGCTTTTTGCTTCTATGCATGACCCTTTCCCCCCAGCATATCAGCAGCTCTGAGTTGCTGCAACTACCTGCTATCTGTCTCACATTTGTACCCAGGGTCTCTGACCAAAGTATAATCTGGTCACACAAAGAAGTAGAACCACATTTTTTTACTTACTCTTGATGTATTTGGTGGGATTGACTGGCTTGTCTGCAGAAAATTTGGCACATTAATTCCTAAATTGCTTTGTATCACAAAGATATTATGGGATGTGGAGGTACATGGTTTTGTCCTCTTTACCTTTTTTATAGAGAAATACACATTAGGGTTTAACTTGCTCCTAGCTTCGCTACTCTAGCTGTCTTTCAAGTAAAGAAGATACTATGCCTTGCACTATCTGTACTGAATATCTGAAGCCTGTTTTCAGCTGTTCTCAGTTACCTATCTTCTTTCTGAAGCCTGTTTTCAGCTGCTCTCAAAATCTACATGTGTAATTTGTCAAAACTCTTTAAATTTTCATGAGCTCAAGTGCACCTGTGCAGCTGATCAAGAGTGGGCACTTCTTGCCTGTTCTCGATGGCATTGCTGCTAAGCCATGGCTGGCTGTCAGTTCTAGTGCTGTCCTTGACCTTTTCTCTGTTCTCATTCATTTCTCTGTCTTTCTTCTATAGTATACGGCTCCTTCTCCGGGTTTCCTCCACAGCAGCACATCCATGGTGGAGTTTGGCTCCCTGAGACAGGCGAAAGCAGCTCTTGAAGCACAACTGCCCTGCTCACCCGAGCCTCCTGATCTGTCTTGCAGTGGTTGAATGAAGGATGGCTGAGGCAGCAGACATGGAAGGTGAGTGTGGTTTAGGAAACAACCCATTTCCTTATCCTCAGTTACATGGCTCCATCCCATTAGGCACCCAGAGTAGTGCAGCCATAACTTGGTGATTGACAAGGAAGGTGTGGAATAAACAGAACTGTCCATAGTCAGAGTTTGGAGAATGTCAGGGTGATTTCTGCAAGGGTAGAGAATTGCACATGTCTAAATGGTGTTTGTGGGACACTCTTTAAAACTTGAACTCACAGGCATTAACTGAAAGAGAGAAACAAGGCTGTAAATTGTGTTCATTACAGTCCTTTTATGGAGAAGAAATGCTGGGAATATCAGCATGCTCACAGGCAACAAGGGGTGCTTTGGTCCTACTGCAAAGCAGTGGTTCCCTGTTTTATGGTATGAATACACCAACTGAGCACTCTGCTGTTTCAGGAGCATGGGTTGCCTGCAAGCACAGGAGCCTGAATGGGTTTTAGTTTTACAACCAGGATGGAAAGAGGAAAACCATGAAAGAAACTGAGTGAAGGTGTACAGGGCAAAGAACTGACTGGCAGTGTGGTTAAGGCATGCAGAGCTGTGATTTTGGGAAGATAAGGAAGGATGCTGTGGCTGTAATAGCTGTTAATCCAGCTGAACACAAGAGGGCTACAAGAACAAGTTTTGGATTGAAAATGTTCTTGATGGAGCTTTTGTAATGCCTGTTTACCTTTTGGCCTGCTTTTAATTTAAAGCTGGGAAATGAAATGGAATGCTACTTGAGACCCTTTAAGTGCTTGTATACACCTATCACTTCAGACTATAATTATTTGGATTGCTATTTTTAATATTTTCTAATACTTTATAAATGTTGGGATTACTTACTGAACGTGTTGCTGCTGATAAGGTACCAACATCTGTGGCGCAGGTACATGATTTGGTACGCGCTCTAGTGATATGAATGCTTTGTTCTGCACTTAAATTGTGGAGAATCCAGACTTAGTGAGCAAATAAGGAAAAGGCAACATAGGAAAAGCAGTCTGGAAAAGTACAAGCCCTGCCTAGTAACCAAGTGCAAGTGTTAGGTTGCTTCTCTATTGATCCGAAGTGCAGTTAAAAGCTACCTCCTGCAGCTGAATTTAAATTGGGCTTTTAAAGTTTTTTTATTTCCCCCAAGGACCTAGTATCTAGTGGTTAAAAACCTGCACAGCAGGTCTCCTATAAAATCACCAAGTGGAGTGTTCATCAGCCTCAACTCCTTGGTTTGCACAGGGCAACTTACCTGAAGGAGTCTGTGAGCTCAGTTCAGGTGCTGAAAAACGACACCAAAGCATCTGCTGGCTAGAATCAGAATAAGTGCTCAGTGTTCTGTCTCATTTATTGTGGTACTCAGTGTCAGTGAAAAGACTTCTTCCTGCAATAAAGGATAGTTTGGGGTTTTTCCAGAAGGAAAGCTTGTGCAGTTTTGTTTCCAAGAAAGCGAGCATGTTAGATTTTGTTAATTCCCTACTGTTCTTTAGACAGTAGTTTGTGTCTCTTAATTGAAGCTGACAGGATTTGTTTCTCTTCAAATGCATAGGAAAATAACTTCCCAATTAATTGTAAATCATTGTGAATATATAGCTTTACTTATATGTTTCAGGATTAGCTTCAGAAATACACAAAGCTTGCAGAGATTAGGAGGACCCAAGACAAAGCCTGTTGCAGGTTTACGCATCTGACATTTTAGCAATGGCTTCTTTTCACATAAATAATGCCCAGAGCCACCAAAACTGCTGCTTAGGAGCTAGGGAAGTTTTTTCATCAGGTGTAGGCACTCAAGGCTCACTGAATCCACTGTAACTCTTGGTGTGAGTGTTTTCTACTTCTGAATATGACAGGCTGCTAGGAGAGTGGAATATAAGCAAAGAGGATAAAATACGCCAAAGCAGTAAAAAGCTCCTTGCCTCTCTTTAAAGCCTGTTTCAAAGAACCCTTAAGAAAGAAAATGTTTATACTCCTTCCATGCAGAAAAGGAAGCCAAAAAAGAAGGGTCTCAAACCTGCTCTTTGCAGCAGTTTTGAATTAGAGAAATAAATATGCATTACTTTGCAAACATTCATGTTCAAGTTAACTAACTGGGCCTAAGGGAAGCGCTGGAAGGAGCTCATGTTGTGGCATTTAACTGGCATAAGTTCACCCCATTGGTTCACCTGGCACAACTGTGTGCCCCAGCTGCCTCCCCCTGCTGAGTGACATTAATAGCTCAAACTTCCCAGCTAGGAACTACTGATGGTTATCTTCTTTATAAGAAAATTATACAGCTACACAGTGCTAGTGGAAGAGAGACAGGGAGGGGAGAATTCCAAGTCCTTTCCATGGCTAGTTAGGCAGTCATTAAGTGCAGCCTGGCTTTCTGAGCTGGAAAGGATCTAATTTAGGCATGATCCTATATCTGCAGGCTTCTATAGGGCTTCTCTCTGCCAGCTTTCAAGATTGGCCATAATAGGCTGACTTTGGTTACTGTTCTTAATGTTCACTCTATCCATGTGGTGTTTGCTGCTGCTGCCGCTTTTTTC